TAAAGCGCATTGAGACAATGTAATGTTGTGATAATGCGCTATATAAATAAAATTGAATTGAAATTGAATTGAATCAACACACAATCAGTGTTTTAATGCACATTTCGGGCGTTTTAATGTCATGGCGGCGCAGATCGAATCCTCAGTCACACAGCCATTTCGGCCTGTATACTAAATGAGTATACTAAAGAAAAATGAGAAGAGAAAAATGCATTCTTCAGTTCATTGTGCAGTCATCACAGGGATGGAGGGAGTGGATGTGGGGTTTTATAGCCACCTCTCACAGGATGGGCTCCACACATCCCCACTCCTGCCTACGGCTTCAGCCATAATCCTTTAATACAGGCTGTGCCTACAATAGCTTAACTTGCAATTTTTTTTTTCCACCTGAATAGTAACAAGGATGAAATTCTCAGAACTGAGCCATGAGGTAGAACGTGCGACTTTGGGATCAGGACAAAATGCAGCAGGTTTAGGAGAGACTTTGAAACGTTTAAGGGGCCATTTTACTCTTTTTTCAGCGGCAGGTAAACATCAACTGGAGGAGGAGTGATTTCTCCGCATGGTGAATGATAATGAAGAAACTGGTTCATGTTGTGAATACATGAGACAGACTCTTCGAAACGAGAGTCGCTTTAGACTCCACCCATGGAAAAAAGCAGCCCAGTAGGAGGGACTTCCTCACCACCTCATATCCTGTTGACCTTTAAGTAACTGAGAACAAGACAGTTGAAATGCGGTCAAGACTTTATTAGGGGAAACCTACAAGGCACTTGTTGTTATGTTACCCAATATGTACATGAAATTTAGGCTCTATAACCATCTGTATGACATGGTTAGTTAACTTCTGTGATCCGAAACCGGACTGGATTTGGGTTCAGGTTTAATTTAGCAGTTTTAAATTGAATACATCACTCTAATCTGTAGGTCCTGCACAGGGTCTTAGGAAAACAAGTCTTAACCGAGCAAGCAACAAGACCAGACCGGAATATCAAGTGAGCTATGCAACATCAGACATACATTACAATGGAATAACACAAATGTATTATGTAATATTTTAAAACATGTCTCATACTCTGAGCTAATAACACATTCAAGTCGATGGGACCATTCACAGGTGGCTGATTTGTAAGAGTTGTACATGATTTTACAGGTGATTAAAGTTTTCAGTTCACTTCTCTCATAAAAAAGGCTTTTCATCTTTTACTTCCCTGCTGGGTGTTAAATGTCAGTACCCCCCCGTATCACGAAGCATTTTGGTAACCTTAAGTGCTTTTTCAAAAGTCACCACTGTACAATCAGAACCCAAACCACAGTCCCGTCATTTTTATTTTCTCCATTCAAATGTTTTAACATGGGGGGGGGGAGCAGACTGTACCAACCTAAACATGGTGTGCTAACATGGAAAGCCACTAACACGACCCTGCCACCATTGTACCAATGGGTTATGTCCTGTGCACAAATGATTACTAAAATATTAGATAAAATAGTAGACGATCTTGGATTATGGAACCGTGCTGCTGTGGTAACACCGAGAAGGATGTGGAGGAGGGAGACTGGCTCATTCAACACAGCCCAGATCCGTTAAAAACATCGCCTTTATTTCCACCTTGGTTAAACCCACCAAACAGACATGACATGAGGTTAAAACACGTGAAACCATATGAATGGAGATCCTGGCTCCGCAGGCTGTGCTGCTCGGCAACATGACCCAAAAAGCAGGGATGCGGTGGAAACGGAAAGTTCCGGAAAAAAATAACAACGGAGCGCACAAACAGGGGGAAACCCGCGAAAGCAGACAGGGGTGCACCAAACACGCTTTGCCCCATGAAAGAATAACTGCGGCCATTTTTAAAGGCCTCTTCTTGGCTTACGGTGGCCCTCTGAAAATCGCCCTGGGAATGGACAAGCGCGGAAAATGCCATTAACATTGGCAAAGTCAGCTTGTCTTCCTTGCATTCCAACAACACCCCTCCTCTTAGAGTTATTATTATTATAATTATTATTCTTTATCATTTTATTATTTACAGGGATGTACACAAAAATACATTTAGAAAGGGAGAGTCCTGTGTTTTCTATCTGGGAGAATACACCAGTTCGTAGTGCTTAGAGCAAAGTCCGCTTGTACATTCCAACCTAGAGTCAGTTAAAAAAAAGGAAAACAGATAACAAGAGCATAGGACCAGAACGATATTCTTAAACGTATTCCTACTGATAACGGTTTCTGCATAGAGTACACAAGACGAAATGGGGGTGTGTCTGGGGCTGGGGGGGTCGGTCGTATGGTGGGCCTGCCCACACGACTTCTTTTAAGAGGGCTGTACAAGACAAATGTCATCGTGTTCAAATAAATTAAAAGAAGGATGTTTTTTTTTTCCCCATTTCCTTTTTTTAAACAACATTTGTTTTTACTGATGTACAGGCAGAGGTGGGACAAGAAGACATACACAGTAGGGAAGGTCCTTTAATTGAAGATTTCTTTTTTCCTTCTGTATGTTTCTTCTTCTGATGATTTACAAAAAGGAAGTTGAGCGCTCTCTGGCGACGGCGCCACTTCCTGGCAGACAGGAAGGGGCGGGCTCGAGGGGCGGAGCCGAGCAAAGTGGGCGGGAGGGTGTGGGGTGGGGGGGGTGACTGAAGAAGGCTTGGGATGGAGCGGTCTGGCCTTGGGGACTCACGTCAGCTCGGCGGCCACTGTGAAAATCAGCGCAGTCACCATCAGTCCCAGTGCATCCACCCGGGCTGCTGCATCTGCAGATGTGGGGGGTGGGGTGGAGTTTACAGTGTTACTCAGAACAACCTGACGCAGTCATGCACAGCAGCACTGAGGCACCCCCCCCCCCCCTCCTGGGCAAGGAGATTCTGACAAATCCAGGCAAAAACTAAAGAAGGCAGGAATTTGCTAATTGCCAGAAAGATCCGTTCAAACACTGACGTTTTCCTCATTCGTTCAGTAGGGCGGGATATATGAACATTTTTCATTGTTATATTAAAATCCCAAAGGAGAGGGTATAACTGTACTGAGATGCCCTCCTTGCTGTCTTTCCCCAGGATCAAAGCAATATTCCAACAGCACAATGACGAAAGTCCTTGATGTTACCAGTTACATTTCAGGGATTCTGATGGTGGACCTGAAAATGCAAGGATTCACAGATCTAAAAAACAGGAGTCAGATGGGGTCTCACTTCATCTACAGGCATAGCAGGACATGTTTAAAGAAGGTTACACCAAAAAAATCTACTCCCCCTGCCAACCCCCCCTCCGCGTTCTCTCGTCATTACAGCTTTTCATCTTTTCTCATGTGACTCATAAGTCTTTCTCTAAAAGCAATGTTAGGAAAAAGTAATTCAGACAAGGGTGTTACAAACGAGAGATGTTTTGTTCTCTCTGGCGAAACAAATATGTTTGAGCTAATATACTATATGCAATTAGACATTACTTTGTATATAATGGGCCGTCACATATAAGCAATGCCCTTGCCAGTGGATGAGTCCTCCCACACAGTGCTGTGGATGCCATCATTTCTACTAGATTATATATATATATATATATATATATATATATGAAAGAAATTTGAAAAGGTCTGAATCACTCTTCAGCAGAGTCTGATGAGACCTGCTCTCTCGCCCTCTCCCTCGTTCTGTCTACTGTTCCTGATTCTCATAAAGTCTTGCATTAGATTACATGTGTGTGTCCTGTGAAGGGGGGGGGGAGGGGGTTCGAAGGTCAGACTCATGGCCGACTATGTGCAGTGGTGAGGGCTGCAGAGGGAGTGAGGTGACCTCATTCAGTCCTGTGAGAGGGCACACCTGCTTGGAGGAACTGTGCCTGTGTGTCTCTGCGTGTGGGAAGACGATTTGCATATTCAAATTCCCGTCCCTGCCAGCAGGGGGAGATGAGCTGAAGAGCTAGAGCATATAGCAGTGTGCTAGCCTCCCGACAGACACACACGCAAACACACTCACACTACCCAGAACTGCCACTGCACATATTTTATTCATATCATTAGATACTCAGTACAATTAACCTCTGGAATGAAATAAAATAATCGCACATTAGCTGCGTCTGTACATTTCATCTTGGCCACATTCAAGAAGGACAAGCAAGCTGGTTGTGGAGTTCTACAGTTCTAGCTTTTACCAAATGTTGGAACAAAACATGGTCAGACATGACCTCCCCCCCACGAGTGAAATGAAGACGTTGGAGATGCTGACACACTAGGGTGTGATGTAATTCACCGTAACTGATGTAATTATTCATTATTTCTACTGTGTTCCTCTTGGGGGTGGTCATCTAATCACCTCATCCACCCCATTAACGAAAGCAAAGTGACAGGAAAAACTATAGAATCGAATAATTACTGCCGCCCCCCCCCCAGCCCTCCAGCTGCCATCGAGTTGCATCCAGTGTGCTGAGAATCGCGCTAGGCTAACTGTATCTCTACAGCCCGCAGATGCTGCACATTGGAGAGTATCTTACAGGAACAAATAAGGTGGAGAACCTCCACATCCTTTCCCGCTACACTGCCTAAGAGACGAAGTTCAGGTTTCCTTTATTCTTGACTTTTTGTAACAGAACGGTGGACGGTTCTGGCAGAGAGAAGGCCAGCAGTACAGCATTACAGGGAGACCGACCGGCCAGATTATACTCACTGTTCTGGTTCTGGGTGTTTTTCATCATGCTCGGGTTCTCTGTGGAGAAAGAGAGAACAGGGAAGATGATTGGGCCGCTCGAAGCTTGGAGGGACTCACATTGCCTGCTGCAGATTGTACTTCACGTCCCACAGATCAGCAGTCGCTCGTAGCAAGAAGCTGACTTTATGTTTTATCTCGCTTTATGTCCATCACATGCGGATGTTCACACAGTTTTCACACAGTTGAATAATTCCTTTCAGGCTTTTGACCGTGACTCTCAGAGGCAGCATTTAATATTTAATACACACTGTACACAAACATACCCAAAGAAAAACAAGAAAGATACATATAAGAGTCTAACAGGTATCAATGCTGTTCAACCGAATGGCTACTTTAATATTAGTTTAAATACTAGAACTTGTGGCCATAGGTGGAAATTAGCGGCAGAACATTTTTAACTGAATTTGATACAACACTTCTTTACACAGCATGCAGTTAGAGTATGGAATAGTCTTCCTGAGCTATTAGTTAAGTTCTCCCCAAACGAGCTTGATGGGCCGAATGGCCTCCTCTCGTTTGTAAATTTCTTATGTTGTTATGTTCTAATAGGCAAAAGGCCAATCATTCAGTGGTCAGACTCCTACTGTGTGTGAGTAGGTACACAGATGATCCACTGAATTAGTAGGTGTGGTGCCTATTCCACAAGGAGGGTAGAATATGTCCATAAAGTAAGAATACAGATCAAATTTTGTTTCAACCAACCAGCTCAGAATAAAGGCTCACAGTCACAGAGCTCTCCACTGGTTGGCTGAAACAAAATCTTGTTCTGGATTTTTACTTTCTGGACCTGAACTATCCACCTCTGCCTGTTCCCAGTGAGTAGGTCCTTGCTGATTGCCTGATTAAAAGCAGCAGTCCCTGTAAGGTTTGCCAGTGATTTCTTACCGTGGCCACTAACCATGAAGACGAAACAACATTCAAAGTAAGAGAAAAAGTCACAAACAAGGTAGGAATAAGACAGCGAACTCTCAGAATTTTCCTCTGGGTTCAGAGTACTCCGTCATTAAGGAATGGAGCTCAACTTTGAACCCCCTGGTGGTGTTTGGGAGGAAGCTCAGGAGAGATTGCCCTCTGAGAAAGCTTTTAAAGAGATACTGGGCCCAGGGCCCAAGATGTGCTATCCAACTGGTATCTGAGGTATTCATTAAAAGCAATGGGATCCAGTACAAAAATGGGGTATCAAGTTAAATATACTGTAAAAATCGCTCACAAATGTTAGGTGGCACCAGATTTTTGGGAACTTAAAGGTGCAAAACCGAATTGTATCGTTCGATCCATTGTTTGCTGGACACTGTTCGCTCTGGGCCCTGGAGGACCTCTCCTTCAACAGAGCCTGTAAGCTTTATTAAGACTGGGGATAAAACGGCTAGAATGAAGTTCAGGTAAATGGCATGGGAAGGGATGTTCCAGCCTGCTAGACTAAAACAAAGTCCTCAGCGCTTAGATCAGACCTTTCAGCAGAGCCCTGATCCGAAGCACGAGGCCCGAGACACACCAGGCTGGCTTAAGGATGAGGAACATCAGCAACCCTGAGTCCTGGCTGAAATCCCATTGAGCAGAAAGACAAACCATTATCCAGCAGCCACTTCCAGGGTGAACTTTCGAGACATGGGGGAGGAAGAAGGAGGAGCGACGAAAAACTTCATGGAGCCAGAGTATAAACCAATTTTTTTGTTCTTTAAGTGTGTGGGCAGTGGTGGCTTAACGATTGAGGCACTGCTCCCCGGGCGCTGAATTAGCTGCCCCCTGCTATGTCACATATGGGTTAAATGCAGAGGACGAATTTCTTTGCTCTGTGGTGTGTTAACAGTTTAGTGAACACTGATCACTAAATTCAATCCTTGTTTACCGAACATCACGATTACGGTATGGAGACCATCAAAGTGTCCTGTTTTCCTGATGTTCCCAGAATGTTATCCTGCTACTACCACTGCAAATAAGGATAATAATGTACAAAGAAATAAAGGGCATGATAGGGCAGTGAGTAACCCTGCTGCTTTGCACGTCAGTGGACATGGGTTCAAGGCCGGGTGTCACGTTTACAGTAATATTTATCATAAAACGATGTTTTTCAACATTAGTTACATTAACGGGATATTCAGGTAACAATGTTATCTACTAATATTGACAGAAACTTAAATGTAAAACGTGGAAATAGTTTCAGTAGCATTAAAGCAAGAACATTCTCTGCCAACTTTGAGAAGACCTTTACATAATGTTGGCTAAAGTTCCCTGTCAGCTGGGTAGAGACTCAAAACGACAGCATAGCAGACACCAAATCGAGGCTTTGATGATTAGCGGGCTGGGAGGGGCAGGACGTTCCGGGGCAGGGCAAGCTCAGCTAAGTCAGATTCGTTCACATCACCTGCACCTTGTTACTCGGTATATAACATTTCCAGCAAGTGCACACACCCAGACTCTTGAAGACCAGCCCACATCCCCGGTAGTTTTATCCGCCACTCAATGATCATTTTTGTTTTTCTGTTTCCCTCTCCGCCGTTTCTGTGAAATGCCCTCCATTCCCATGCCCAAATAAATTCTGACCCAAACAGGTCAAGTGGTCCCGATCGCCACCCGTTTAGAGAAAGAATACAATACTACTGTCCTTGTTGTTTCTTTAAAGAGCTGCACGACTTTGGACTTTATCGTGGATGTAGGTCTGTGTGCAGTCTGCTTTGCAGTCTGCTTTGAGTGGCCTTTGTCCACAGATGATGCAGGCGGGGCTCTGGTTAGGGTTCTTACAAATCACAGAACTCAGAGGATTCACCCATGAGCTGGCCGACGGTTATGGAAAAACAGTCAAGGGCCGTCCGTAGGGCTGCAGTGATAAAGGATCATCGCCTTTGTGATGATGCTGTTGGAGCTTTTGTGTGTGTTTGTTGGGGGGGGGGGTCTTGTGGCAAATGCCTGCCTCCCTTTATTGCTTCCACTGGGTCTTTTTAAAGGGCAAGTGTTTGGAGTGAAGATGAATGAATTCAAAGTGGATTCCTTTGGGGAGGGAGAGGTGGACAGACGAGAAGCGGCCGTATCAGAGAAAGCGGGATTCAGTACACGGGACTGTCCTCGCAGCGGCTGGAGATAAATGGGAGGCATTTCGCTGCTCGGGTTGACGGCAGGAAGTGCAGTCAGCTGGTTAATGGGTGTTAGCTCTCTCACACCACGGGTCTTTTCAAGAGACACACTTTTATTAAACAGCCACCCTGAGACTTTGGGGGGTTTCGACATTCCTCTTGCTTTTACGGCACCATTAAATCTCCTTTAAGCTGCACATTCGAAAAATTATGAACAGTTTGATTAAAATATATTCACATGGGGGGGGTAAGAGTGGCTGGGTAAGCGAAAGCAGGTTGGATCCCATAGCAGGCGTTGGTTCAAATCTCAGCTAAGTAATAAGAAAACTATTTCGACTGAACGCTGAGTTCTAGCAAACAATTGGTTGGCAGTATTATGTGGATGTTTTGTGTTCAGCCAATCGGCTGCCTTCCATGGTGCCCATGTGACCCCTAACAGTGCCAAGAAAGCTACACACAGCTGAGTCTTCATTAGAGTATGACAATCTCAAGATCTCTCACTGGAATGTCAAAATCCTATCAGCCTATCTTATAGTACAATCAGGTGAACCCTGTTCCTGTGTTGAAAACAAATGCTAACATCAGGGTTAGTCTTCATTATATGACATCATCCCTGTGGGACAGGAAGCTTCCTCCTAACAATACATGCTGTCAACATGTAATATAAAAGGCTTATATGAATTAATAAGCACTTATGTGCTTATTAGATGTCCTTATAGTAATTGCTATTGCATATACGTTTCCTTTATTACATCTCTGTGGTATAGCTTCAGCAAAGGCTCTGGGAGATTCTGCTCATATAAATTACAAAGTCATTACTCACATCTCTCTGAAGATTTATCAAGGACTTTAATAATACTATAACTTATTAATCATGCATAAATAATTCACAGTTAACTTAAAGCTCTATTAATTCATGCTAGGTGTTCGGGGGCCAGCTTTTTCACAGAACACAGACTGGCATCTTCTCTGAAACCAAACTGGGGGAATTAGAATGTTAGGGGTAACTCCTTGCAGATTATTCATGTGGCTTGTTTTGAATTTTTTTCACTAGAAAAAAAGCCCTATTCCCATATCCTCAATTAATTAATGGAGATAAATGTGTCTGATGTCCTCAAAATTTTGTAGACAAGCTAAGGAGAGCCTAATGTTGACTTCCTGACAAGGTCTGGAAGGTACCGAGGCTTAGGGTGTGGAATGTACTCACCAAAAACGATGAGGCGTGTGTGAGTGTCCGTGGAGCCCAGGGGATTCTGGGCCGTGCACCGGTACATGGAGCCGTTGAGCTCCGCCGGCACCCGCTCCAGAACTAGCTCCTTGCCGTCTCGCTTGTCGCTGCCATCCAGCAGACGCCCCCCTACACGCGTCCACGTGAACATGGGCTCGGGGAATACCTCGTTCTGTTGGGGGACCCCAGGTTGGCCATAATTAGTGTCAATCAACAAAATAAACCAACACAACCATCCATGGAAACCAATATCTGCTTCAATGATGATCGAAGGCCTACATAATAGCCAAATGGTGATTGAATTTTTTAATAAAAACTTTACCTTGCTCATAAAAATATCAATATTAATGTTATTTCCTGTCGAACCACTTGCTTTAGTAGTTTTGGGCAACAGCAGCAGCCCAGGGGTCACTGACTGATCGCAGAGAGGGAGAGCTACTTTAACTCATGAGTCTTGGCCACTTCCTTTTCCACCGGGTGAGAAACTCTGGCAGTGGAGTGGAGGGGGCCATCACTGCCATCGAGCATGGGGGGGGTGTCCCGGTATGGGACCTGCCAGCAGCGGCCGCAGGAAGACGGGAACGAGACTGTCGCTTTTCTTGAGGAAGCATGATGCAACGGTGTGAAACCAGCAAAGGCTGAGAAGAAACGCACTCATTTTCTTTGTGTATTTTCTCTTTCCAAGCTGTCCACTTGAAAATGTGAAGGAAGAGAGGTGTGCATGCGTGAGTGCTGTCTGTCTTCCTAACTGCCTGTTCTGAGGGCTCTGATTAACTTTGAGTCATGGTGACTTTAGGTTCCGGCTTCCCCAACCACCAAAGACGCAAGATAGAGTGTCTTTGGGGCACTGGGATCCTAGAATCGATGGCATGACCTAATTGGAATGGACTGATTTTGTGACGCTGGCTTAGCAAATCATTGTGGGGCCAGAGAGTGACATTTAGTTTTTATTATTAGCTTTTAAGAACATAAGAACATAAGAAATTTACAAACGAGAGGAGGCCATTCGGCCCATCAAGCTCGTTTGGGGAGAACTTAGCTAATATCTCAGAGTTGTTAAAATCTTATCTAGCTCTGATTTAAAGGAACCCATGGTTTTAGCTTCCACTACAATAGCAGGAAGACTATTCCATACTCTGACTACACGCTGTGTAAAGAAGTGCTTCCTCAAATTTGTTTTAAAATGTTCTCCCGCTAATTTCCACTTATGGCCACGAGTTCTAGTATTTAGACTAATATTGAAATAGTCATTTGGCTGAACAGCATCCAGACCCGTTAGAATCTTATAGACCTGAATCATATCCCCCCTTAGTCTCCTTTGCTCAAGGCTGAACAGATTCAGTTCCGCTAACCTCTCCTCGTAAGACATTCCTCTAAGACCAGGAATCATTTTTCATATCTTATTACGCTTAAATAATTCAAAAATAAAGAAGAAGGGAATTTCAGCAGAATGGCAAGGTTTCAGAAAGTGGGGAAAAAAATAAGAGGGAATTGTAATTGATAAATTGAAATATTTTGTCTAAAGTGCGACAGTCTTTCTTTACACCCTGAACCCTTGGCCAGTGAAGGACATGAGAGGTATGCCTTGAAATCAATGCTTTATGCACTTATCTAATTAGGACAAAAGGACAGCAGACTTGGATCCCGTGATTTGTGAGTCATATCAGCCCTGTGCAATGCTTGTTTATAATGACTGAACATTATTCATGGCCGTCCTTCAAATGAATCAGTTACGGGAAAATACACGTGGCCAGATCCACCAGCCAGCTAGTGAAGCTGGAACTTTTCCAAAAAACCGGAAACGTAACGCAATGGCCAAAACTTGAACATCCTGGAATTTGATTGCATGGGATTTTGGGGGGGGAGAGGGGGAACATAGGTTGATCCCCAAGCTGAATCACCTTGGATTTATCGGGTCAAACTTTATCTTTGTTTTTGTCGTGAACAGCCTTAACTGTGATTTTAACGAGGGATTCGTTGCAAAATCCTTACTCTCACTGAAAAGCTGTTTCACTGCTCTTTAGGGGGAAAAACACACAAGAAAGAAATGCTTATGGTGTTTGTGGAAATATCCCCTTGCTCAAATTTGTTCTGTGTACACTAAGAACACTCCTGCGGCCACACTAGCCAATCTGCTGTTGGGAAGTGGCTCACACTAGCCAATTCGCTGCTGGGAAGTGGCTCACACTAGCCAATCAGCGGCTGGGAAGTGGCTCACAGCTATCTCTGGGATACACGTTTGCCCGCCGAGATCGTTTTAAGATGTGGCAGTGGTACATAAACAAAAATGTTTAGCGTGAGAGATTCACTTTTTAGGCCACAATTCCAATCGTTCACAGCAAAGAGAAAGACACAGGAAGTGGCGGGCTCAGTGTGTCCGAATGCATGCATACTGCTCTCATGCATATATATAGTACATACTACATTACTGTAATGGTAGTAGTACCTACTGTGTAAGTATGCGATTTTGGACACACCAAAAGTTTGTCTGATGTTGATGTCCTTCAGTACCGTCCGTACACTTCTTTACACAGCGTGTAGTTAGAGTATGGAATAGTCTTCCTACTAGTGTAGTGCAAGCTAAAACCCTGGGTTCCTTTAAATCAGAGCTAGATAAGATTTTAACAACTCTGAGCTATTAGTTTAGTTCTCCCCAAAGGAGCTTGATGGGCCGAATGGCCTCCTCTCGTTTGTAAATTTCCTGTTCGGTAAGAGTTTGGTAAGTTCGGTAACTTGGTTAATGCTCAGAGGCTCGACCTTTCTGCTCTGCATTCCACTTCATCTTCAAAACTGAACATTGGCCCACTTTTTGGAAACCCCCGTCCCCCAATCTCAGGAGATCCTACCTGGAAACCTTGAACGCTGATGCGAACGGTGTCCCCCACTTTTGCCCGAGTGGGGGTCATCAGCAACTTGGGGCCTTTAGGGGCCGCTGGTGAAGGTAAAGAGAGATAGAGGGAAAGAAAAAGAGAGATGTTAGCTTGCGAGTGTAGGGTAATGGATACAGGAAAGTCCATTTCTTTGCAATGAGAGGGACACATGTACTGTCAATTAAGGTCACAGGGATGAAGTCTGAGAGAGAGGAGTCCTTTCATTCAAAGGTCACCCATGAATTTATTCCCCGGGGAGAAACAAGGAGCTAAATCAGGCAGATACTCATTATGGAGAAGGAGGTGCCATGCACGGAATGGGGGCTGGAAGCCTCCTGATAAGGGACGCTAGGGGAAGCTAATTCCCCAGGCCTGTCGGGGCAGAAGCCCCCAGATAGATTTAATTTGGTCCCCCAGACAAACGATGGAAGCAGTGATGGAGGGAGAAGAGATCGTGTCGTGACCTTCCAGAGGACCTGGGGTCTCGCATGTTACTGGCAAGAGGTAAGTAGCAGTGGGCGTATTATAATATAGCCAAGAAGATATGACAAAAAAAAACACCAAGGCAGCGCAATGGAGCCACGCTGGAGATAATAGGCACCTGAACACTCGTTATGGTTCAAAGAGGCATAATTTGCAGGATTCTGAGAGCCCCCCCGCAGATATTTCATACTGGGGAAATCACCCTACCGGCAGGATACATTATGGACTGGGTTACCTGTCCTGCGACTGCTTTTCGGGGGAATAAACACTGGGTCAAAAAACTGACATCATCATCTCCCGAAAATTAGCATTTCCCTAAAAACAGCAAGATCTCCAAAGATCTCAAAATGGTGACCCACCATTGCCACAACCCCCTGTTCAGGCACCCTCTGCAAAAAACAAGTTCAATCCCCTAGCAAGAACAAGAAAAAAAAAACTGAGAAAGAACAAAAAATCCATTCAGATCCAGACACTCCCCTGCTCACCTGTATAAGACAAACACGTAATGATGGCCATTTCCAAAACTCATCCATCACAAGCTGCCCTACTTGTTTGCTTTTAACGATTCTGTCACAGACACGTTAATGATTATTATTTGCTTTTCTTGCTTGGGTAATGTGCATTGAAATGTTTTCCGCGATTTTTATTTTTGGGCTGTATGAAGTCCAGTCTGGCAGGGAATGCAGGCCTGTTCTCCAAGCAGAATCTGGCCTGGAATTAGTACTGTGTCCACAACACAGAAAGAGTTATGGAAGGATCATGGAAAGGATCGGGCCACAGTCTTGGTGGGGGTGATGAAATCTCTGTGGGTTGCCAAAACCACCCCCCCCCCCCCACCACCCTCTAAATTGGGTTCAACCATTTACTAATCTCTGCATGTCATTCCTTTGCTGATTCTGTAGCAAGTACCTTCTCACACAAAGGTCCCACTGACCGTTGTTTACTTTGTTTTCTGTCCAATGATGTCACAGTGACGGGATGGGTGATGTCACAGCATCATGGGAATGGCTGCCTCTGACTCGACTGAACCTAAAGCAGTTAATTATTACCGAGGGGTCCGTTGGTTTCCAGACGATGAGTACTCTCCCCCATTGTGGGGGCAGAATTGGGCTCCTTGCAGGAGCAGCTGTAATCTGTCTGTGCTACAGGCACAGAGGAACTCATGAATATGCAGCGGCTGTAATGTGACATCGGACCGCTGTCAGGCTGCCATTTTAAATCAATGAAAAATTTAATGCTCAAACTACCACCCGGCCCCCTCATCCTCATTACCCCAGCACATTTTAAGCTCCCCCCCCACCACCCATGAGGGGAGGAACACATCCAAACCAAGAGAGCACCTGCCCGTACATGACTGTCGACGGTCCTGTCAACATCCCAAAGCACGCTCAGAGGACTAGATCTGGGAATTTTGATGAAAACCTGGCATTCTCACATTGTGTGCTCATCACATGCCTTGCATCCCAGTGATATTGCACAGTCATCTAATAAAAATAATAATGCAATCGTATCTGTTTTCTTCATAGACATCAGTGTTCTCAATGCTGCCTGACTGGCAGCCAAAAAAGAAAATCTACCACTGAACCAGTTTTTTTTCATGTTTTAATTGCCTGACTAGAGTACTATATGTTTTCAGATAATTATTAAATGAATACACATGTATCTTACTAATTAAAAAGCTGAGTGTTATGTAAAACGACACTGCAGCCAAAAGAACGGAATTCATTTGCATAGTTCTTACCTACAGTATTAGATATACAAACATAATTAGTATAATAACACATATTTGAGGCATTGAAAGAGATGCTGGGAGATGCTGATTTATGCAATGGAACCTGGACTGCAATGCGGTGTGTTTTGATAGGTGTGTCGAATCCTTTTCAGAATGCTTTGGCGGGGAAAATTAAATCATAAACACCTAAGTCATGACAAATCACAGGCAATTTTCTGTGGGTTTTGATTTTTTTTTTTCAACTGACACAATCGCTTTTTGTCCATGTGGTGGACAAAGCATCTCTGCCTGTGGCGGGCGCCAGAAAGTGGGCCGATCTTGCGGGGTGCTGCCTCGTGGCACGTAGAGATAAAAGGTGGCTTTGAGAGAAGCCCTGGTTTCAAGCCGGCTGCAATTAAAATCAACACAAAAGCGCATCTGCAAAAGTCCTGCATCCAACCCCACTCTTCCATATTCTTAGGGTAAAAATGAAAAAATGTATTAAAAACCATCAGAGTATGCTTCTGTCGACTCTTCAAAGAAAGCGGCTCATGGAAAATCAGTGATTCGGCAAAATAAAAGCCTCTGCGAAGCACAAAGCCTCCAGCTGACTGTAAGGAAGCCTATTTGTAGGGCTGCATTTTGGTGAGGTACTTGTTTGTAATACTGTGTGGTGACAAAAGAACCGGCCTGGTCCGGCCCAGGAGGATATTCCGCATCGGGTGCTGCCTTATTTCTCATGGCTGCACACTTTGCTGTTTCAGAACAAAGAATGCATTCTTGGACTGGAGGAATGAATGGGGGGTTAAAAAAAGGCAATGTTTGGGCTTCTTGGCGGAGCTGGACGAAAATTCCTGCAAGCCAGTGGATGCCTCTGGACAAAACCTTACCACGGTCCCCGGCTGGCAAGAAGGAGCAGAGCTGCCACCTCAGGACAATAGTCTATGGTCAGCTAAACTCTCATGGGTCTACCGGTCGTGTCGACTTGCCCCCTCTCCCTTATCCACGGCACCAGTGGTGCTGCCTTCCACTCCCAGAGGTCCTTCTGTGGAGCTTGTGTGGAAATATTATCGGGAGGGGGGCTTTCATAGTCAGCAGCCCCCACAAATGAAGTGCACGAAAGACACCCCCCGGCCACAGATGGGTCGATGTGAGCCACTACCACTGAGTCCGAAGGTGGCATTTTTTGGCACCATATTGAAAATGACAGTAAATCTTCAGGATGGGGATAATGTGTTAATGTGGCACATGTGTTTACTCTCGTCAGTGACAGACATGCCCGATGACTCGCTCTGAGATCACAGGCCCCTAACGTCTCCCAAGCGGCCATGTGAAGTCTGGGTGACGGAGCCCCCACAGTGATATACAATCCACTATAAGTGCATCAATGCGTCTTTTTTAGCCGCCGTCAGCGGAAAGCGGCTCCCGCGATAGCGATGCGTGTCGTATTTTGCAGCGTGTGCAGGACACGGCAGATCTCCACGGTCGCGGGTTCAAATCCAGCCATGCTCAGCTGCTTTCCTTGTTCATCCAAGTACATAGATGAGTTTGCGGCTTCCTGGTACTCTAGTTTCCATGACATGCCTTTGGAGTGCAAATGTCCCATGATGCACCTTACCTCATTCCTTATATTGACAGAGATAGATTGGACTACTGAAACCGAGAATGAATAAGTATCTATCCATCCATTCATATCACTTATAAAGGGCAAGGATGTGGTGAACTTGGGGTCTATCCTAGGAAATATTGGGGACACTATGGACAATTTAGAGACACTAGTTCAGCCAAATTCCTCTAAAGGAGGAATCCACCAAACTAGTGCAAAAATGACTGGAACAAAAGCTCACATACATACATAACACATACAGAGCACATACATAACACATACAGAACCATTCAAAAGTTTGAGTGCCTGCTTGACACCATGATTTTTTGTGCTCTAAATTTGTCTATTCATGGGCGTGTATTGATCAGTCAAAATTCCTAATTTGGTTCCAACCACTGTGTATTTGTAAGACGTAGAGCAGGTGAGTAAATGAGTCTTGCATTTGGTTGCCGTGTGTGACAGACTTAGTGATCTTTACTAAATCCGTGGCATTCTCCACCAGCATATTAGACTTCAAAGGCTCACCATTCTACCATCATAAAATGACTTCAAGGAAGTATCTGGGGAAGAAGGAAAGTGAAGGACAACTGAAACCTGGTCTCTCAGTCTCCAGACGCCAAGCCCATAAAACTTGCATGAACCAGGCAAAAGCAAAGTCAGCCATAAGCATCCAGCATCTCTGGAAACTGCTGCAGAGGAGCATGATGGGAAATTTCCTGCTGAAACTTGTTAACCAAAGGCCTCCAGGACTTAGAAACTATTTCCTGTTCACCCGAACACTGCTTTGATACTCCACTTATATTGTTTTGTATTTTGCAATGTATTGTCTGTAAGCTTTTGCAGAAAAAAATATATGATGCAAAACATTATGATAAAGCCTATTTTCCAGCAAGTGTAATCAAGCTATTGAATGATACTGTAGAGCTCTGCTGCGAGTTGAGCTCATAACCCTGAGGGCCACAGCAAAAAGCATTGCACCATCGCACCGCGCAAATTGAATAAGCACATATTTAAAAACAGATGGGAATATTCTGGACTCATTTGCAGTTTTTCTCTGTATCGTTAATCTTATAATTGATATTGGAAGGTGGATCCCTGTTGGCGGTGCCATGCAGTGCTGCTGCAGTAGCACTGTTGCCTCACATCTCTGGGACCAGGGTTCCATGTGTGGAGTTTGTATGTTCTCCCCGTGTCATTGTGGAGTTTGTATGTTCTCCCCATGTCATTGTGGAGTTTGTATGTTCTCCCCGTGTCATTGTGGAGTTTGCATGTTCTCCCCGTGTCATTCTGGAGTTTGTATGTTCTCCCCGTGTCATTGTGGAGTTTGCGTGTTCTCTCCGTGTCATTGTGGAGTTTGTATGTTCTCCCCGTGTCATGTGGAGTTTGCATGTTTTCCCCATGTCATTGTGGAGTTTGCATGTTCTCCCCGTGTCATTCTGGATTTTGCATGTTCTCCCCATGTCATTCTGGAGTTTGCATGTTCTCCCCATGTCATTCTGGAGTTTGCATGTTCTCCCCGTGTCATTCTGGAGTTTGCATGTTCTCCCCATGTCATTGTGTCATTGTGTTTCTCCACAGTCCAAAAACATGCTGAAGTTAATTGAAGTTACCAAATTGCCCATAGGTGTGAGTGTGCCCTGTGATGGGGTTATGCCTCATCCTGGGTTGTTCCCTGCTTTGCACGCATGGGCTCTGGATCCCACCCATGACCCTGAATAGGACAAGTGGTTATAGAAAATGGATGGATTGATCTCTGTTGTTAATGTCACATGATCCATGTAAAGCCTGTACATCAAAACCTTCTGCCATTTGACAAAGTGAGCTTATTATTCAAAAAAAGAAAAAAAATAACAGTGGTCACTTCTCGTTGCTGCTTGAAGAAACTTGAGGTTAAACATACGGAGCATTGAATTACTCAGACGTGGGGCAGAGTCGATATAACGGGCTGATTATATGGCAATGTTCAAATTCTTATTTCAGCTCATTAATTTGGGTTGACTTTTTCAATAACAGTACCAGGTTAACTTAATCTAATGGCAGCCAACCCAATGAATTTCCCTGTCAGTCATTCGCACTTTACTTCCCACGTTAATTCTGAGATCTGCTCAACTGTAACGCAATTAATCATCAAGTGGATTGAATGCTGTTCTAAATATATCAGTCAGTTGTATGCAAATAGATGGAGGCTCGCTGAAGGACTGGGGCAGAGAGAGAGCAGAGCATTATGGAGGACCAGCCGATGGTCCTCGTTGGGGCCCAGAAGCTGTTATGGGGCATTGTATGGCTCACTGCTTTAGGATGCAGTGACTATGATCAGTAGGTCATTGGTTCAAATCCCGCTTCAAATCATTGGTTCAAAGGCCCTAACCCCCGATTGCTCCAGGGACTGGCTGATCACAAAATATGTAAGTCGCTTCGGATAAATGGTCTGCTGAATAAATAAAATGTAAATGTGTTGGGGGAGGGGGAGGCCCCCCACTCACCAAGTGTGATTTCTGTCACCATGGGCATGGTGAGGGCAGGGTGCTTAACCTCACAGCTGAAGAGGGCGTCGTTGTCCAGCTGGGGGTTGAGTGCCCAAGTGATCCGCGCCTGCACCTCCACAGAGCCGTCGCTCTGCGGTACCTGCCTGGCCGAGAAGTAGTACAGCGGGTCTGTGCTCAGGGCCCAGCGGGGGAACTCGCGGGACACCACCGTCTCCGGGATGACCTCTGTGGCGGGGCTGGCCTCGTGCCCGGCAGCCCCAGGGGTGCGGCCTCTCCCGGGACTCTCCGTGTACAGCCGGGCCGGCCTGCCGTCCTGGTGCAGCAGGGTCCGCGACTTCTGCAGTTTGGTGTCGTCCAGGTCACGGCTGATCAGGGGCCTCACCCCTCGCATGCCAGCCGTGCCCCGACTGTCGTCGGCCTCTGTCGGCTGCAAGTAGTGGAATATCTCAATTGGTTCCCCGTCACGCTTGAAATACACCTGCAGGGGGCGACAGTGAGTCATCAGTTATGTTTACGCAAAAATGGCTTAGCAGTTGTCACAGATGTGTACTACAGATACAGGGAGTGTTTCTGTCAGCAGTTTGTAAGCTTATGGAATACGAATATGAGCAAGACGTAACACAGACAAGTAGAAAGGCAAGAGGCAAACAGGGATGGATTCTGCACTATTAACCCACAGATATAAATGCTTGTTGTTATAGGAACCTCAAATCTGACTTTCTACATTATTTGCTATGTCAAAGAAATCGGCCAATGCCAGCAGTGGTCCTGCTGCAGAGCACTTGCAGAGTTTATCACTTTATTTCATCGAGGTATTAAGATTCCCAATCGGTGAATCTGTTGACAGGGAATTACATCTCCCAGGCCTACACATGGCCTCCAGTTATTCGTATTAAAGTCTCAATTTTGACATCTTGCCTGCTGGATAGGAGCCCGTGGACGTGCCTGTCCTTGCTTTCCCACATATAAAAGCAACCACAACAACAACACCGCAGGGTTCAATTTTAGGACCACTATTGTTCCTAATTTACATAAATGATATAGACACCAATATACAGTATACAGTAAACTGGTGAAATTTGCAGATGACACCAAGGTGGGTGGTGTAGCAGATACAGAACTAGCGGCTCAGCAGCTACAGCGGGATCTTAATTTAATTAGTG